CCACCCACCTCCACCGCCTCCGCCCCGACTGCTGCCCACCATTGCTTGCAACTGAGAACTCACTGGTTGACCCGCCTCCACAAGTATTGACACCAGCTCCTTCGCGTGCTTCGCGTTCGCTGCAGTGAAGAACGTGTACGCAGCTCCCTTCGCACCAGCACGTCCTGTGCGACCAATCCGGTGCACGTAGTCTTCACACGAACCCGGAAAGTCGTAGTTGATCACGCACTTGATATCCTTCACATCTGAAACATCGCCCCCTCCAATCCGGTCAGTTCCAACCTCTCCCCCTCAACGTCCGCCCACTTCACCTTCTCCAAAACTACCTTCTCTTTCTATGACCCGACACCCATCACCACCTCCACACGCCCTACACCGCCTCCTGCTACTCCAACCCACTCCTCACTCCCTCCTCTCCTTCGACAATCCCTACTATTCACAGCCCATCATCCAAGGGACGTTATCAACTCTTACCGTCCCACCTCATCGCCTAGTCACGCATGTACTCTTCCTCAGACTGGTTCAGAATCTCTCCACAACACACTGCTCTACAAAACAAAAACCACCGAACCAACCCAAAACCATGCGCCATACGCCCATCAATCTCTCACCATCCTCCCCGTTCCCTATCTGCGCACCCCACTCTGCCATCTACTGCACAACCACCGCCCACATTCTCCCACAACGCCGTGCTCTCCTTCCCACCATCACCGCGACCACCCCGCTCAACATAGATTACGTCGCTCACAACTCGCACCCTCCAAACGCATGGAATACAATCCAACCCACTGACCTACGCCTAACCCAACTCCCTCCCTTCCCGTCCCGTCCTGACCCCATCCATCTTCCAACCCCCTCTCAACTACCAACCCCCACATCACATCACTCCCGCTCGCTACCAACTCCCCCTCCTCCCACGCTCTTACGTTCGTCACAACCCTCTCCAACTCCGCATCACTCCCATCCTTCGCCTCAACTACTCCCAACCAACACCGCCACATTATCTACCGTCACCCACTTCCGATCCTCCTTCGTCTTCGTCAGTCCCATCCATCACATCCGCCCAATCGCGGGGCGCGCTGTGGATGCCCACCTTGCAACGCTCTAGACCACACAACGCGGTGTCTGCACCGGATGAATGAGTGTGGCGACCGGGCTGCACACAGTAAGCCAGCGATCCAAAAAAGCAGGTGTGGAGCGTCGCCGTGGCGGCGGCAGTGTCTCTCTTTCGCACTCCCATGCACTGCCCCTTTCTTCCTTCCCACAGAAAAAAATTAATAAGAGCATCAAGAACCGCCGCCACGCCACTATCATGCCATCAGGATGCCAGCTGGCCTACAGCCCGCCCGCATTCTCACGCACCCTGCAGAACAACAAAGACACCGCACCCCATTCTCCCACTCCCATTTTCCACTGCTCACTCATCCTACCTCACCATGTTAGATCCTACCACTCAACCCACCATTCCACATCGTACGCCCACGCACACCAAATCCCCGCCATACCACACATCACACTTCAAACCACATCAACCCACCACCTCCAACACCGTGCCCCTGCTCGACGCCCCAACCACACGCACCCCGCTTACCTCCATTCCTTCCACCAACTCCTCCCACACCCCACAACTCAACACGCTCCCGCTTCCCTCACACCCCTACTCGCTGCTCTTTCCCCGGGCGCCTCCAACGCCCCGCCGGAGCCGCCCCACCATTCTTCTACGACTTCGACTCCCCCCCACCACCACATGAGCCCTACATGACCGATTCACACGACGCACGCGACTTCCCCATGCATCACACACACCTCCGACCCCAGTCACACCCATCGGGACCGACTCCCTCCCACACACGCTCCTTACGCATCGTTCCCACCGGATGTACCAACTTGCCCCACCCGACTCCCAGTCTCCGTGCCACAACATCCACACCGTCCCAACACATTCTCCACTGAACTGCCACCACCATCTCCCAAGCCCTCACACCACACACGTGCTTTGCGCAACAAACCCAAATACCATCCGCGCCATCGCTCACTGCACTGCAACGTCATCCACGAACGACACGACCGACCACCACCCCCAGCACATCACAGCAAGTCCCTTCCACTTCCAATTTGCACAACCACGACCTCGACCTCGACACATGTGACACCCACGCCACGAACATCCACCACCCGATCTCTGGCCTGACGCCACCTCCAACACAGTCACTCGATTACGACACAACCAAGCCACTGCCAAAACCAACACACACGCCTTCCATCTCCATTCACGACACAAACCCAACGCACCCTTCCCTCCCAACCAATCGCACGCAACGCTTCATATCAAATCCTCTCCCGCACATACCCAAACCACGCGCAGCGACATCAGTGGCCGTCATGATAGGACTCTTCCCAGCTTTGAACTCCGACAAAACCCAGTCCCTCTCTGCCTGGGACTTGTCGCCATGGATCGACAGCGCAGGCCAACCGTCCATTCTCAGCTGCCGCGTCACCTGATCGCACCCGCGTTTCGTCTCCATGAATACCAGCAACCTGCTTCCATCCATTATCTCTTCCAACAGCTTGATCAACCTGAAACACACACAACAACAACACCTCAGCAAAACCGCCTACCCCACGCCCTCTGCTCCAAACACCTCAACCAAACTACCTCCAACCCCCCCCCCCCCCGCCAAAAACCCACAACTCATATATCCACTGTAATTCCTCTCCCGTCCCCACCACAACCCGCGCTTCACAGCGTCAACGTACTTGGGATACTTTTCGTGTTCCGACACCACCTCCACAACTTGGTCTATCGCATGGTTGGCTTTCAGATCCGACGAACCAATCGTCACCTGCAATGCAAATCACCTCATCCCGCTCAACCACATGTAATGTCACCCACAACCAAGCACACCATCACACCCCCGTCCACACATCATGGACCACACCTCCACACCACATTCCAAACACCATGCCTCCCCTCAAAATAAACCTTCGCCCGCTCCTTCCTCGTTCATGCAACAAACCCTCGTACCTTGTACGGATCGTTCAAAAACTGCCTCGCAAGGAACTCTACTTCCTTCGGCCATGTCGCACTCCAATACAGCGTCTGACGATCTGGTCGAATCTGTTCGCGTAACCGCCCACACAACCCAACCCACCCCACCCCATTCAGCACAATATGCACCGCTTCTACCAACATTCGCCCACCTACATGCTCCTCATTCCCACCCACACTCTCTCCATCCGCATTCCCACTCCGCTCCCACACCCCTCCACGTGCTCAACTTTGCATCCGCTTCACTCCTACCCTGTTTCTACTTGCGCTTCCCGTTCACAGGACGCCCTCATCACCTGCCAATATCTATCGGTTCACCGCATCCGCCTTGCCAAGTCACAACGTCCCACCCTTCCCCGTGCACTCAAACCAACATCGCCACACCCCACCGCCCGCCCTCGCACACGTGCCATGACAACAACTACCCAGCGCGCCCCACAACCTAACTCACTCGCTGCACTTTTCAACCGCTGCCAACCCACCCTCGCACGCACCCATACTCACCTGCGATACAATCTTCCGAATCTGCGGTTCAAACCCCATGTCCAGCATTCGATCGGCCTCGTCCAACACCAAGTACGTCACTCTCCGCAAATTCGTGTGTCGACCTTCCAGCATGTCAATCAAACGACCCGGTGTTGCAATCACAACCTCAACCCCTGCACCACACACGCACTTCATGTTACTCACGCCCACGCCCTAAACTGCCGCAAATCACCCATCCGCCCCAGAACTGCATACCCCACTTGCACACAGCTCATCCCAACCTTTCTGCAGGTCGCGGATCTGTGGCCCTTTCGGGGCACCTCCGTATATGCACGTGTTCTTGATCTTCGAAGACGCCCCAAATTTCGTCGACTCTTGCTGAATCTGCACCGCCAACTCACGAGTAGGGGCCAACACCAGCACGATCGGCCCATCTCCAGGAGCTGCAACCCAATCCACCACCACCACCCAGTCAAATGCGCGAAACTGGCTCATCACACCATTAACCTCAACTTCATCCACGCACTCGTTTCAACCCTGCCTTCCCATACATCAACCCTCCTCCACACGTGTGCGCGAAACCCTCACCCAGATACGGTTGAGCATTCACATGCACAATAGCCGGCAGCAGATATGCCAGTGTTTTTCCGGACCCGGTTTCTGCCAGCCCGATCAAGTCGCGCCCCTTCAAAGCCATGGGCCAGCCTTGCGCTTGAATAGCTGTTGGCTCCGTGAACCCTGCCTTCAGCACCTCATGCAGCACATAATCTGCTCCATTTCCCAAACACACAACCGCCGCAGCGTGATCAGCGCCACAAACCCAATGCCACCACCAACAGGACCGATCCCGATCAATCACACAGTGTCCACCACAAACCAAGCCCCGTGATGTTTTCGTCCCGCCTACTCCACGACAGGTTTCTTCGCACACCACATCTGCCAAATGTGCCCTCACTGGCCAGCCCACACATTCCGCGCATCGTGCACGACGTCGCCTACGCCGGAAGATGAACCATCCCGCTACTCTACACTGCACACACCACTGCAACTACACAGCCACCCGCGCTCACCACTCCCACAACCCTAAACTGTCCCGGACACCTGCACTCTCGCAACTGTGCTCCGTGCACGCCACCACAACGTCTTTGTGTTGCAACACGGGACGGCTAGACCAAACCCGGCCACGATTCGTCAGCCATGCAAATGCCACGCACCTGGAAATGACGCCTCCTCGAACGTGCGGACGGGCTTAGGAACGGTCCGACCTTCCACAGTTATTTCTCGCTTTCGCCTGTAAGCTGCAACCTCCTCCTCGGTCAAAGCAGACACGGCCGGATGCTCCACGTAGAAATTCTTCTCGAATGGAATTAGGTTTTCGAACTCCTGCGCTGGCAACGCTATGTCGTCCAAATCACGCTTGCTGCTCCCACCATAACCTCCTCGCCCGCCTCCTCCTCGTCCACCGTATCCACCGCCCCCTTTGCCACCACCGCCATAACCTCCTCCCCCACCGTATCCTCCTCCACCTCCTCCAAAGTCACTGCACCACAATCCACAACCTCAGCTGGCTCCCACAAACAAATAGCAAACCTGCACCAACTCTCGCTCGCTCGCTCTCTCTCTCTCTCTCTCTCTCTCTCTCTCTCTCTCTCTCTCGCTGTGTGTGTGTGTGTTCGCGCGCCCTGTCTGTCTCTGCTCCTCTCTCGCAAATACAACAATTGCCCCGACCATCGAGAGACGCGCAAGTTGGGCACCGGCCAGCGCCGGCGCAAACCATCCCATTCGCAGCCACGCGCGGGACCGCGATGGCTGCAACCCCCAATTCTCACACCACAATGCCCAACACAACCACCACTTCACCAGCCCCGCCCCCACACGTACCTCTTCCTGTCGCGAAACGACGAAGGATCGCCATATCGGCCATCAAATCGGCTCATCTTCAATAACCTAACTGCACCCGCAACGCAACCTGGAATACACTCACTGCAAACGAACCTCCGCAATCAGCCCCGCCCCATCACCCACACCCAATCAACCCCTCCTTGTCTCCTCACCAATAACGGAGAAGTATCGGGGCGGGGGTTGGGGTGGGGAGCTGCGTAGATCGTGGAGAGCGGGGAATGGCAATGCAAGAGCGAGAGGGAGAACGGAGCGAGTGAGAGAGTGAGTGGGGGCATGGGTTAGCACGCACTTCGATCAAGTCCTTGTGGGGCTGCTGCTTCCGTTTGGGGGGCACCTCTCTCCCTGGATTAATTTTAGTTTTGGTGGCCTTGTCTACGTGGCTCTGGGTTGTTTTGGATTTCTTCTCTTTCTTGCCCTTTAGTGTTTGTGCTCCTCTCCTCATGGCCTTCATTAGTTGGCCTGTGTTCTGTATGGCTCGATTGCTCTTGCTGTCTTTTCATGTTGTTTGCATTGTATGGTTGATTGGAAATGTTATGGTGATAAAAATTGTAAAATATTTATGTATATTGGTAGTGTGAGTACATACATAGAGCAATATGTTTCTGTTCTATAAATTTTTACACGAGTTTGAGTTTGGTTTTTTGAAATATATGTAGACATACACACACACACACACACACACACACATACTTAGTGATGGATGATTTATCCCATTGTGATCTATAATTATGTGATAGTAATAAGTAATTTATGATGTCTATTTATCTATATACTATTTTTTTAGACTGTTGAAAACAAAGTTGTTTGTAGTTTATGCTCAATATATTTTTAAGTGAGAGTTCTAAAGCTACATTTATTGTTTTAACACTCAATTCTGCAACAATGTTGTAAATTGCATTTAATCAATAAGCTCTTGGACCACCATTATCAAAAATATTGAACAAGATGAGTGTATTATGTAGTGTCTGCATAATCAAAAATTGTGACTCTTAAGGATCTGTATTCTCTTCAGGAGTAAACCAAAAGTGTTTTTGCAAAATGACGTTCAGCAAAAGTCAAGGCTTTCTAATTACTTATATTAAACATTCATACACAAATTGCAAAGCATATGGGACATTAATGGAATTTTGACAGCATGAAAGTTAAGAACTTGTGGAAGAAACCATGTTGTCTGTTGCCATTTTATTTAACTTGTTTTAAGTCGTACTTCACAGGCATCAATTTTTTCTGCAAGCAATTGCAACCCAGAATGAATGGAAGGTGTAGTTTCTGTCACCAAAATCTGCCAAATGCTACCAATTTAAACAATCCTGAGTACAAAAAGTCTAATGTTGCCTCCATGACTTGCATGCTAAAGGTTTGGGTGACACAATAGGGAACAGTGGGATCATGTAACACATAAACTGGGACCAAGCCTGAAAGTTAATCCTTGATGGATGTGGGTGATCACATGAAACCTTGTGAAACCTTGCAAAGCATGTGAGGAACCAAGGGCTAAAACTAAGTTGAAAACTTGAAATATCTACCATGTTGCTACTTAGAATCAAATTGTGTATTTTAATGTTGCATTTGGTTTCTACTAACACTTATGCCAATCTCTCCAACAATTGTTTGTCACTATTAAAATTACACAATTATAATAAATCTAGATGTACCATGCTGGCTTTCAAGTTGGACCATAGCAGTCAGGGTGGTTTCTTGTGCATGTAGAATTGTCACTTAAGTAAAGAGATTTAGTGGAATTGCCTCAAAAAGTGAGATTTTGCAGAAGATTTTGACCTCATTGTTTGACCTGACATCCACATGAGTGGTTAGATCATGCTTTAAGTCTTCATGTCTAAAGGACAAGGTAAGAGGTCACAACTTTTAAATGCTTAGAGTGGTTGAAATTAAGAAGTCTCACTCTATTAATTTTAAACTTACAAAAATCAGTTCCAAGAAGAAAATATTGGATGAAATGAAATGTATTTTCTTACTTCATGGCATAAATAATGTTGTTCCTTTGATTTTTCATTGGATTTTTCTCTCACAAAGGTTTTTGGAAATTTTAAAAACATTGTGTAAAAAATTACTTAAAGTAAATATATTTTTATATCATTTTTTAAATAAAATTTATAATTATTAGAAGTGACATATTTAGGTTCAAAAAAACATATATGATTTAGTCCATTTCATGGCCTCTTTTTACTTTATACTACAACCAAAGGCCAAGGTTGTACAAGTATCATTATAATTATAATTTAAAAAAAAATCTACATTGGTTTTTTATATTTTTACATGAGATTTTAATATATACACTTAAATATGAATTAAAGATGAGTATTAATACAAATAAAATTCTTTTTATATTTATGTTATAGTTTATTTTTATTTATTTATTTATTTTGTATTTGTAGTTATAGCACTATTCTATTTATGTTTTGTAATGTGGTTTTTATGAACAATATAATTATCAATGTTAAATTCAATAATCAATAATAACAAATATTTAATTTTAATATATTTTATGAGTTGAAAAATAAAAGAAAATTTGTAAAAATCATTCACTTTGTTTTACAATTAGTTTTAAATCAATGTTAATTTTATTTGTTTGTTTTGTTTTATTTTTTATTTTTATTGCTTTATTATGTTAAAGATGCTAGAATAAGAGACCATAAGATTAATAGTTACAAAGAAAACAAATGAAAAGAAGTTGTGTAGAAATAAGAACAATTTTTAATTGCTCAAAAACTTTTGTTGGCAAGAATAAGTTATTCCTTATCTTACTCCCTTATTTGTACTATAAAAACTATGCCTTGTAAAAACAATTATAGGAGATTATAAGGATTACAAATTATTATATAAAAGACTTTTTATAAAAGATTCTATAAGAATGTAGATAGTTCTGAAGAGAACTAGAGACTTCAAGAAATATACATAAATTGGTACCAACACTTAAAAGCTTTTGATTTTTTAAAAAAGAGACTTGAAATTGTAGTTTGTTACATGTGTGATACATTTAAAAGAATCCTTTAAACATTGCTAGTTATTTTATAATTATTATATAAAATCAACACAAGGTATGTGTAATAAATTTTTATACATGTGTCTACACTTCAATTCATAATGCATTATTTCTTAATCTGTTATTAGTACATTACTATAATTTAAAAAATCATTCATTATAATAAATTTAAAAATTGTTTAATAAATTTATACACAGATGTATTGTAAGTCTTGTTAACTCTCTTGTTGTTGTTGCTTAGAACTCCCATACTAAATCTGTAATGTCCATGTTAGCTTTGTAAAAGGGTGTACATACAGGAAAAGGGGGCGTCCACCTTAATTTATAGAACACAGGTTGATTATTCAATCAAAGTACCTGGACATCGATATAATATTTTCGGCATCAAAGAAGAGCAACAAAGAATATTTCCTAAGTAAGCACAACTCAAGATTCGCCAGCATCAACAAGTGAATCACCACGAATGAAGTGAAAATCAAGTATCACAGCTGCTCGTCTATAAATTGCGGTATAACATTCTGTGCAGTTCAGTGAGCAATTGTCGAGGTTTCTGACCATTTCTCTTTGTGATTACAAGCTCAACTTGATGACCTAGTAATTTTCAGAATAATTTTTTGTTGACATTCTGATGTATATTACATAAATGATGGTGAACATTTGTGTTATTGTTATTGAACAAATACATTTTAGAACTTGAATTTGAATACGAATGAACCGAGTTTTTCTTTCTTATTTTTGTATACGATTAGAAAACGAAAAAGTATAAACTTGGTTCTTGAGACATCGTTGAGACAGTAAACAGGTGTTTGACTTTTTGCTCCCCATTTGCTGCCCATCTCACAGTCTATGCGCAAGATAGTCCCCTTCAGAGCCTCTCCAGAAGACGGTCAACCCAGCATCGTGCACTTCCTACACGAAATCTAAGGCAGAGCAAGTAAAAAGAAACACCACTGTCATTGCACAAACACCATCAAGTTGATCAGAAACACAGTTGCTTCTATTGCTTGATGTCATCATAACAATGATTATTACCAGCTCTCGTTCAGGAGTCACAAAGATCAGTAATTTGCGGTGCAAACGATAATGATCCCTACTGATGGCTCAGAGCATCCAAATAGAAATAGTATTTCAAAAGCCCTCGATTAGAGTCCACAGAATGTAGATCAAATGACAGACAGACAGGTAAGTGGGTACGTGGAGATTTTAGAAGAAGACCAACCACGAGGCTCTTCAATCTCAAGAAAGTTTTCATATTAACGATGATACAAACCTCAAAATTAATCTTCAACAGCTCTCATGGTACCTGCCACATCCCATCATCAACATCAGTGCCTTAATCCGTTTCAAATTCAACTTGACAACCCTAAAGCTCAACATCTCACGAGTAAATACAAGTGTCCACAATGCACAACATATGCATCGTTGCACTAAGAAAATTTCTTGCGAAACAGTCAAACACCGTCGATAGAATTTCCTGTCAATTAAAGCAAAATTCTCTTATCGAAGTGTTAACCTACTTGTTGATTCAAAAAGCTTCGCAATTATTAAGGTTTCTACAAGCAAACTAGTGATAGAATTGTAGAAGACCATCGCCGATGTACCTTTCTCCAGTAATTCCATTGAGATTGGTAAATGTGTCCGTTGGCAATGATTCATATACAAACAGTGTGAATGTAATGTTGACAGTAAAACGGGAGGGAACAAAGGAGAAATCGCCATTACCAATGTAACGCTTATTGTTGGCAGATTGAACTTCCTGCAACTTCTTATCGAGGTCCTCTTGCAAGCGAACTTCCCAGCTCGCGACGGCATTCCCGAACCCAGCTCCCAACCCTATCGCGAGCAAGTGTTCCCACGGATCTATCCACACAGATACCCAAAAACGGCATTCGGTATAATTGATCACCAAGAACACGCAGACAGGCCACGGCCAACAACCAAACAATCCACCGTAATGAGGGGACATGTGGAATCAAAACTCACGACGCATAAGAGGAAGCTTGCGCACTCCATTGGAATAAAACTGGCAGCTCAACCCCATTAGAGCTCCCACCATAGTCGCCGTGGCCACCATGGACGCTGCTTGAAGTGATGCTCAGGCGAGCGAGAGACGAGGAATAACTCAGAGGGTCCGAGCTCGAGTACCCACGATGACAAAAACAAGAATACCTCGAAAACAAAACCCTAATCAATCCCTCCGTGCCTTCTCTCTCTCGCTCTCTCGTGTCCAAGTCTCTCGCTTCCATTGACGAGAACCCTGATCTATGGATTAACGACATTTATCATGTACACACATGACTGCCAGTCTGCGTTCGAGACTAGACCAAACTTCATTCTTTCAATTAATAAAAAATAAAAGTATCAAGTCTTTCATAAGATTATTATGTATTTATGTGTGTATAAATAAAATTTCATTAAGAAATCTATGAGGAAGTGATACTTGGCTCGTAGAATATTTATTTATGTATTTTGATATGTTTATTTCCTACAGTAAATGCCACTTGCAATTATTCCAATTACTTAGGAGAATTATTTTGCTGAATTGAAATTATGAGAGTTCATAGAATAGTAATCTGCCGCACCTGTAACTGGGTTTTCATCAGCCTGAATTCAGATTGTGGGAGCTTTTGGGATTAGAAATTGAAAGGGTATGTCTAATGTTACGGATGAGGAACTCAGAAGGGATTCGATCCTGAGACCGGTTTCTGTGTCAACGCGGTTGGAAACCACCTAGATGAAGCGAAGTTGGTAGGTAGCAGAGGGGGAGGTCGCAACCGAAAAGGTCGCACATTCTTTGCGCGCGGGAGCGGTCATTCAAATACTTGGACGACGCGGATAGCCACACATGGGAGGTGTCGGAATCGGAGCAAGCGGTGTCTTGTGCGTCATACACAATCTGGAAAACTCTTCTGGAGGATTTTTCTAACGGTGGCTCGCCGCGGAGCATTGCACAGAATAGAAAAAAAGAAACGAAAAACGGTAGGGGTTTGATGGAGTTATGGATTGGCGACACAGACTACGAGAGTGCCATTCAGCGTTTGCTGTTGATGTGGGTCGGTGATTGAAGGTGATGCCTGAAGGTGTGTAACTCAAAGGAGTCTCGCACTAGGATTATCATTTGGGCTTGCGTTAGGGTTGGAGATTAGGTCAGGAGGGTTTGAGGATGAACTCAACTCGGATTGATGCAACTTGTAAATCCTGTTTTGGCATAAGATATTGGCCGCCGACTTCGTCTGCTATTAGATGGCCAGTTTCTGTGAATCAAGATCTCATCAGTGGCCCGCAGTGACGAGGAAAATTTAAACGAGTAGTAGAAAATTAGGGTTGAACTTGGATGTTGGGAGGAGGATTTGAACTGCAAGCGATGGCTCATGTGTGTGTGAAGCAGGAGTTGCGTTCACACGAAGAATATTTGAGTGGTCTAAGTGCATGTTCGTGTAAAATTTGTGGATGACTTCACACTTCAATTGATACTACGGTCGAGTGAGCACGAAGTATCGCACACGATATGACAGAGCGTGGAAATTGAGTGGGAAGCTATCTTCGGTGTTGCAATTTTTTTGTCGGCATCCTGTTTTATGGCTTTGGCATGTTGGTGATAGAACAGGATGCAGAAGCCAAGCAAGAGGTTGGATCAGGTAAAATGGGCTGAACTTTGTGGGATGATTGTCTTCTTCGTGCGCTGTTTTTGCTCATGCTTGGATTTGTGCCTCTTATTTTTGAGCATTCCGTTACAATCCATGTCATCTGCTGAACTTGTTTCACCATACATGAATGTGTTGTATTAGCCGTGGTTTTAGCGTTTAGCTTCTCAGTCCATTCTCAGCTTCTCTTCTCCTACACAAACCATAATTCTTTCTCTACACATTTTTCATTGGATGACAGACATATCCCTCTCGGAAAGTCATGAGCAATGGTTTCCTGGCTAGCCAGAAGTTGGACATACAATCACCTGAAATTGAGAAAGAAAATCATGAAGAGGGATCTACCCATCATAATGGTATATCCGATGTTTATCTTGCAACAAGAGGAAATACTAGGATTGGTTTGAAAGCAACCCGGAAGGAGTTTGCAGGGAATTCCAGAGTGCCTTCCTTGACAAAAGGCGGCGATTCTAATGAACGGAGTGCGACGGATAGCTGGCTCAACAGATGTCGGCCTGGCGTCTCCCAGTTTGTTCCCACCAGAGGTATAGGTCCCGGCTTGAAAGGCAATAAATCATGTGAATCAATCAGGGCTGAGACTGCTGGTGGACCTATTACCGACACCTTTTATCATCAAGTTTTCGATGATGCACTCATCGATGAAAGTGCGGAGAAGCGTGTTATCCTTGATGAGGACTTCCGCGATTCAAAGAAGCAGAAGCTGGATAGCAATTCTGAGGACGCCTTCGTTGCGTGTACGCCGCTCAAAGATATCACCAACTCAAGGACAGGTTCTATGTGCAGTTCTGACCAGCAACGTGATCAACGAATAACTGTTTCGCAGAGGAGCTTTTGGATAAATGACCACGAACTTTGTGCTACTGGTCTGCCATGCGATGTTACTCGAGATCAAACCGCTGAGGAAGTGCAATTTATGGAAGAAAAGCAATGTATATCTGGGAGATGGCAGGATGTAGACTGTATGTTGATAGAGAAAAAAGTAGATGCAGCTCGTCACTTGGGTCTTTCAGGGATGCCGTCGAAAAAGGATGGGGAAATTGAGGCCCAAAGAAGCTACGAAGAATTTCAAAATCGAGGCAATACTCCAACATTTGAAGTCGTTGCCATGGAAGGTGTTTTCGATCCTTTAGAACCTATGTCACCACAAGGGCAAAGGATACAAACACCGGGGGAAGTAGACACGGGGACTTTCAAGTCAGATGTTCACTTAAATGTGATTCCAGATAGTCCCGCTGACGAAGGATGTCCATGCTGGACTCCATCTCCGGGCAGTTGTAAAATTTTAGAGGATCAACCTTCTGGTGTTTCGAAGCCTGGAGAATGGCAAAGCAATGGTTTGTCGTTCTCACCTGGAGATGCATTCTGGGATGAAGCTTTTGAGGCTGTTAATGGTATTTTAGTTCCGAACTCTAGTAGACAACCACCGGAAAATAGCAGTCCAGTGCGTCAAATTTCGCTGGGCATGGTTAAAGACATGGGTTTGATGAAAGTAAATGGACGGTTTGATAGCCAGGTATTAAAAACCAAGGAAGTAGAACAGCTCATTGAGGATGTAAGGCAGTCTATTTTGGAAGAGGAAAATGCTGGTAAATCCGTACTGGCATCAGAACACGGTGCGGAGATAGATAATAGTAACGACTTAACGAGGAATGACGAATTTGGTGGTTTTCCTTTACCGGTACGTGAACTTCGTCTCCGTCACCAAGAGAATCTTCCGAATGGGAACACTGAAGAACTTGTTATTAAGGAGGTCCATGATTTCTCTCATGTTATTGCTTCACGTTCAAATCCTTTAAGTCAAATGCCTCTCAGTCTGAAAGATGGTTTTTCTAAAATTAAAGACCAATCAGAAGCTTATGGAGTTAGAGATACGAGCCTAACTCGGATACAGGAACAGGCTGACAGCAATGTATTTACCAATGATAGTTCACTCTCTAAATCAAAAGTGAACCCAACTCCATCATTGCTCGCAACAGTACCACGCTTACAATCGGTTGAGTCTTTGGCTGAAGTAGACCAATTCACACATTCATCATCAGGGGTTCCATCAACATCGTATGAATCACTATCTGCTTTTCCAAAGGGAGTTGCAATTGAAAGAGAAAATGAGAACTTCGTGGTCTCGAAGTTGAAGACACTATATAAATCTGAGCTCTGTAAATGGCTTCCACCTGAATTATGTTCTTTCTTTGCCAAGAAGGGCTTAACAAAGCTGTACCAGTGGCAGGTATTTAACAAGTTTCACAATGTACTTCTATGAGGTTATTTTAAGAACTTTATTCTAGTTAGCAATCTATCTATTTTTCTGAGTTCAGTGCCAGTCTGTGATTACGGCCTTGTTTCTTCAGAGCTACTCTGGAATGAAGAGAGTGTAGGTCAGAAACGTTCTCAAAGCCCATTGTCTGATTTGAGTGGTCAGATTTGCTGTCCGGTAGTGCTTCACTCTAAACTTTGTGCTGGAGATGGTGGAAGGTGGAGTGTTTGCAGACGGATGGCGTTTTGGATGGCCGGAATCTTGTTTACTGCGCATCTACAAGGTAGGAACTGTTAGATTCAGATATCGTATCTCTGGAAATAGTGAATTCCTCATGGATTTTCCGTTTTCCTGTTTATGTTTCCTGAGCGTTTAATGATTTCTGCCATAGATCTCCTAACGCCGAAAGTTCGTTCTTAGTGTAAGCACGGAAAAGCATGTAATGAGCGATATGTTGGCGCTTTATGTGGAGATGCCTGCATTTAGCGTGTTCTAATTTTATTGCTCTTACGCAGTGCTGGGAAGAGTCTAGTGGCCGAGTTGCTGATGCTTAGACGAGTTTTGTCAACGGGGAAGAAGGCATTGTTGGTGCTACCTTATGTCACTCTCTGCTCTGAAAAGGTAAAATATTCTTCTGAAGTGAATGTGTAGCTGGACTATCTTGGTGTTCTGTAAATCTAGCTTTCATAATGAATCAGGATAATTGAATCCAGTAAGGGCAAATGGTTTCTTACTGGTCTCTGATCAAAATACCCCCCCGTGTTTTCTCAGTGGATTTCTCATCTTATTTGAACAGCGTTAACATTTGTTATATTCATGTATATGCTTCAACTATATCACAATTAAGGCGTAATTTGCAGGCAAATCACCTTCAGGCACTTCTACAGCCGCTTGGTAAACAAGTTAGAGGATTTTATGGAACCCAAGGTGGTTCAAGCCTTCCCCAAGATACTTCAGTGGCCGTTTGCACCATTGAGAAGGCTAATTCCTTAGTTAACAAGCTGCTTGAAGAGGGTCGACTATCTGAAATTTCTATGATTGTCATCGATGAGCTTCATATGGTACTCTATCCTCTTACGTTTCCACTAAACTCATGTACAGTATGTGATACATTGAACAGACGTTATGAACTCCACCAGGCCACATGTAGAACTGTCCGGTCGTTTGCATTTAGCGATTCTCCTATCTTGAGGTTAGTTGATTCCAAATTACTCAAACGGTGGGGATATGTAAGAGAGGAACTTCAATGTATGTGCAGGTTGGTGACAAAGACCGTGGCTATCTACTTGAGTTACTCTTGACTAAGCTACGCTATGCAGCTGGGTGTGGCGATCTCACTTCAGATTTTTCTGCAGAAGGCTGGACCAACTCAAATATCAAGTGGAGCACTGAGTTGCAGATCGTGGGCATGAGTGCCACGATGCCCAATGTGTCTGAGGTTGCTAAATGGCTTCAGGTATCTCTCTGTAAATAGCACCATTTTATTTTATTTTGAACTGTGTATGTCGCAAAACAAGATGACTCGTCGATGTATATGTCGGTGTTTAGTCACGATTATGTTAATTTGTTGCTCAAGAAGCAAGTCATGCATCTCTTCTGGATAGGTTTTTGTTCTTGTCTTTGGGTTCTGTATTGGATTGCTGGTTACGTTGAGTTTTATTAGATTAAACTTGCCATCAATGTGGTTATATGCGGTGTGTCAGCTTCAGTGTTTCCCATCTTGAATGCCAGTAATTGGTAATATCGTCCAGGCTGCACTGTATCAAACTGAATTTCGACCGATTCCTTTGGAAGAATTCATGAAAGTGGGTAATACTATCTTCGACAAGAGCATGGAAATCGTTCGAATGATTAGAGATGATGCTGATCTTGGAGGGAAGGATCCTGACCACATTATTGAGTTGTGCCATGAGGTACTATGGTCTACGTTTCTTTAATCACTCATCATTTAACAGTGTTGGTCACGAAAATTGGGGTTACTTTAAAATGTAAAGATAATGGATGTTTTACTTACCAGGGGCCTGTCTACTTTTTATTAGGTAGTAAGTGAAGGCCACTCAGTCCTGGTGTTTTGCTCTAGTCGCAAAGGATGTGAGACATCAGCACGTCATATAGCCAAACATCTACCTCCATTTTCAGTCATCAAGAAAAATAGCGATGGACCGGAGGATGGAAATGCAGCTGTTGAAGAGTTGCGGAGATGCTCAGCTGGACTTGATCCTGTTTTAGCAGACACAGTACCTGCGGGTGTAGCGTATCATCATGCGGGCCTCACTGTACGATCATTGCTACTAGATTTTATTAGATGCTGCAATGCATGCTGAGCGAGACTATACTTAAGGAAGGCTTACATTTTTCAATCCAGCACACTGCATGAAACCTTCTATGAATTGTTTTTACAAATTTACCATTTAAATATAATTGCTACAGGTGTATGGTAGGTCTTATCTTCACCGTGCAGTTTTATTAGCAATGCTCGACCTGTGGTAAGAAAGTTTCCCTCCTGACATAATTTATGTATCAGGCGGAAGAAAAAGATGTTATTGAAACGTGTTTCAAGAGTGGTGTAGTGCGAGTACTTGTTGCAACTTCTACACTAGCTGCGGGCGTAAATCTTCCAGCTCGTCGAGTGATTTTCAGGCAACCAAAAATTGGACGTGATTTTGTGGATACAACACGATATCGTCAAATGGCAGGTCGAGCTGGGCGAGCTGGGATTGATACAAAAGGAGAGAGTGTAAGTCCTTGTTTGTCTACAGCTTGTAACCGCGTTTTCTTATAGGCGGAATAATTCTCTTAAGGATTTAAGATGAATTGCCTTGAATAATGGACACAGTTCACTTTTCTGGATTTCCCTGGAACGAGAATCTAGATGGTGACCTTGTAGAAATTTAGCAACTTTGTAACGCATGTTGGAGAATCTTACGTTGGTGGTTGTCTCATTTCTTATCGATGGTGGGCAACACCTGTAAACATGCAACAGATCTTAATTTGCAAGCCTGAAGAAGCAAAGCGAATAATGGAGATGATGAAGCAGGACTGTAAGGCCTTACAATCGTGCTTGGCTGATGACAAGAATGGAATGATGCGTGCCTTATTGGAAGTAGTAGCAAGCGGAATGGTGAAGACTGCAGCTGATGTGCAACGCTATGTCCGATGTACACTTCTGAATGCCACGCAACCTTTTGAAGAGGTTGTTAAAGCTGCACAAGATTCACTGCGGTGGTTGTGCCACAAACACTTGGTTGAATGGGATAAAAATGCCGAAATTTACAATATTACGCCCCTTGGTCGTGCCGCATTTTCGAGCTCTCTTAGTCCTGAGGAGTCTCTGGTACGATGTCGCATTGTTTTTAATTACTTCGGCGTTAATATGCAGCACTCAACATTTTAATTTCCTTCTTTTCTATTTTTCTATGTCTTGCATGTCTAGTGAATGGTGCGAAGTCTTGAAGCTTAAAGTCACACTTTTGAGGCAGGTTGTATTCGAAGATCTTGCGAAAGCGAGAGAGGGATTCGTTCTGGCCTCTGATTTGCACCTGATCTACGAAGTGACACCCACTTACGTTGATTTGGAACCAGATTGGGGTGTTTTTTATCAACGTTATATGGAGCTTTCACCTATTGATCAGGTTAGTTACTGCGCCATGCTGTGAAGTTACGAAATAAATGTGCATATTACGTCAATTCTGAAGTAAGTAGTGATGGACCACGGTTACGCGACAGTAATTGGCAAGCTTGAAGCTGGTCATCTGGCTCTTATGCGTAAGTCATCATTTCTATTTTTGTGGCTTAGCTTTGTGCGTTATGTTCCGTTGCGGTGAACACCCAATCATTGCATCCCTTACAACTAGGCAGTACAGAAGTAGTTCGATGTAGCTTATTCTGTTGCTATGCCCAAAATCACAATGTGGTCTGTGAGTATGTAGTATTTTCGGATATCACCGAAAATAACCAGATATTTGTACATCAAGTTACCAATTCGTAGGTCCCAGGAAAGTTAAGTGAAACATCCCTATTCGTTTTGTGTATTACCAATTCCGATCAAATTTTTGTCGCTTGTGATTGCGGTATGATCTGGGAGCAGGCGGTTGGTAGCAGAGTTGGAGTGTTGGAAGCATTTTTACTTCGAATGGCTCATGGTGCACCTATTTTGCAACATCGTACTGGTGTGCGATCTCGTGGTGGCAAGGACGTTAAAGGGAAAGTATCACCTCTTGCTCAGAAGTCAAGATGGAAAAGTCCTAATGGAGCTCAACTTCCAGTAGATCAGTTGCTACGAATCTGTAAACGATTCCATGTGGCTCTGATCCTTTCATATCTGGTGCAGGTAGTTAAGCTTTTAATTAAATTTGTGCTTAGTTACTTCTCAGCCTAGAACCACCTTCCAGATGCTAGAAAGTATCATTCACTGAATGTGAAAAAATTTAACCTTAATTTTTTTTGAATCTTTTATTTACTCCTTTACGTGTTGCATTCACGTTGTCCACTATGTATGTTCATTCTGCATAATTATTTGAATACTATTACTTGGGAACAGGAAGTGCCTATGATGGAAATTTGCGAACGCTTCAAAGTGCAAAAAGGAGTAGTACAGGGGCTGCAAGAAAGTGCTGGGAGGTTTGCTGGAATGGTTGCAGCTTTCTGCGAAAGATTGGGTTGGAGTGACATGGGAACTCTAGTTGACAAGTTCCAAAAACGAGTCTCGTTTGGTGTAAAATCTGAAATTGTGGAACTCACGGAAATCCCCTTCGTGAAGGTTTGGATTCTGAACATTTTGAAGCCGGTTTGATCTTTTAGATAATTGCTTGCTCTTACGAAGGAGAGTTTTCTGTAATTCTTGTCATTAGCGAGGTTCAGCTATCGCAAAGTTTGGTGGGGTCCTGCATCTAAATGAACTAGCCATGAAATCTCCGGATAGTCGGTATTTGTCTTCGTTGAAACCTTTTCGTTTAACTGCTTTTCTGGCATACAGGCGGCAAGAGCAAGAGCTCTTTTCAAGGCCGGGTTGAAGAGCATACATGCAGTTGCTGAAGCTACGGTTGACGAGCTCGTGAATGCACTCTTTTGCAACTCGTCCTGGAATAGTCAAGGTCAGTGACCTGTGAAATTGAAAGTCATGGTTATTGCTGACTTAAAATTCTGATCTTGTCCATATTTATTGCTTGCATGTCTGAAATCTCTTCTGTATGTTGAATTGTTGTGTTTCAAAATTTGACCTGCAACAGTAGTCGGTTATAGCTGATGATATCATACCATTCCTTTTGCATGATTCTCATCTTTGGGACATTTGACATTCTTCGCAACTAGATGAAGAACAAAAGATGCCCTTAATTACAACTATTATATGATTTAGTAAAACCTATTGCAAATCCATACTCGACTATCTTAACCGCCCACAATCATTGTGTTGCAGATGACAATGGCCCACAGTGGTCTCTGGTTGGTGTAGCCCGGAAGATAAAGCATGGAGCTCGACAAATTGCATTGGAACGTGCAGAAGAGTCTAGGGCTGCAGCTTTCTCAGCATGCCAGGCTCTTGGTGTTCAAGTCAATGCTGGTCTCGCATTGCCTCTAGTTGGAGCAATTAACGACGAAGCATAAGCGCCTCCAGAGGCTTGAGCGGAATTTGAATTAATTCTTCTGATTCCTGTATCATGTGGTGAAATGGAAACATGGTCTTGGAGTACACAACGGAAGCAGAAGTTCCAGAAAGGTCGGTCAGCTCCGTGGTTTTGAAGTTTTTTCCACCGCATTTGTCTAGTGGTAATGTTCCACAAACTGGATCTGGAGGCCCCTTCGCTATTGCGTCGATGCCAAGTTTCCATGCCTGCTTATCTCAGTAACCAACACAAACAGACGGAGTTTATGTGGGCTGTGTGAAAGGGTAGCAGTCAGCATTTTGTTATTCATTCATGGAGTACAAAATGTTTGTAGCAAGTTCTATGTGATAGCGTTTCGCTTCTTCAAAGGATCCTGGAAAATATGAACTTAGATTGATTGTGAATTTTGGCATCTGCTTGTTAGCAAGGAGCAGGATTAGCATCGATGGTAGGTTATGAAACTGGCTAATTTATGATCTCAATTTTTTAGCTTCTCTGCAGTCAATTTTTTCAGAAACTGTAATATATAACTAGCAGTTAGTTGCAATAATCACTGTTACGTCCACATTGAGAGGGTTTACCCATCATGAATTTATCTTGAGTATTTATGGGATTCACCATCTTTTCTCTGCTGCTTGTCAAATCATAAATTACTACTCACGGATAGTGTTGTGAAAGTAGAAACTCGTAAGTTAGCATGGTCGTTATTGAAGTAGTTCTTTTTGAAAATATTATGAAGGTTCCTCTGAACGGGTTGCTGAACAGAACTTCCTTACAAATTACATAACACTCTTACTCAGCTGATATTCGTATTGGCTATGTTTTGTAGTATTCAAAGAACAAAATGATTGGTAGAAAAGTGGCAAAAGAATTTGTTTTAGTGAATAAAAGGAATAGATAGATGAAGTATCTACCTCTCAAAGTTTTATGCTAAAGATTTTATTTTCAAAATATCAATATTTATAGTGCTATAGCAAGATAACAAAGGATTTTTATAGGTTGTAAGAAATACACCATTTTAATTTGGTGAGAGTTGATTGTGGAATTCATGACATTATTATACTAGCAATGCAATTGACATATATATAATTCTAAAATTTGTTGTAAAGTTTGGAAAGGAACCAAAACCTATACCAAATCAAATCTTTATTACATTCAATAAAGAAATCCACATATAATAAGATCTAGTATTGTTACAATCTTTTTATAGCATTTTAAGGTTGTAAAATAATATAGTCAAAATATCCTTATTTTATTATATAACATCCACAAAATTTATATTGATCCTAATTATTTTTTATAAAATTTTTAAAAATAAAATAATACAAATATGTAATAAAGTTATTAATTCTTTGATATAATGTTTTTATATAATTTTAATATATTTAAAATTTTAAAATATATAAAAATATAGAAAAATTGGATTTTATTAAAAAGATATTAATATTATTATAACATTGAATTATTTTATAATGGTCTTTTAAAATAAATAATATTTTTAAAATAAAATTTATAATAAAAAATAATTAAAAAATAATAACAAAGCATCATAATATGTTTTAGCAAGACTATAATTTTTAAAATTTCGACTTCCATTGTAGCATGGGAGATATAGTGGAGCAATCCTAGATGGAAGCTTAAATATAACACTTCTTAGGCCAAATAGCTACTTTGTAAGGGCAAATAGAAACCTCTAAGACAAGGAAGTCGACATTTGCTGGGCTGAAATTGAGTAAGCCTAGTACATACTTTGAGACTTCAAGGCAAGAAGATGCAAGTCAATGGCTCTTTAATATGTGACAATACCTCCAACTATTTGAAGCAAATACCACTTAAAGAATTATGTATGTAGCTAACTATTTGAAAGATGCGGTAGCCATTTGGTAGCAATATCGAGTTCAAAGCTATGGAACTCAAGGTGGATTTTGTGATTGGAAGGAATTTGAGACTGAGTTTAGAAATCAATTTCGGCCCATCAATGAAAAGAAGATAGTACACAATTAGTTAGCAAATCTTATACAATCCAAATTGGTGCAAAATTATGTCTCTCGGTTCAAATCCCTATATTTCCAATTTAACAATATTTCAAAGGCGAAGATGATGGATTGATTTCTACAAGGTTTGAAAGCTAAAGTCCAACAAGAAGTAGAACTAAGAGATTCACAAACATTTGAAGAGACAATTAGGATTACAAAGATTGTCAATACTATAGATTTGAGAAATTGAGAAGCACAACTTATAGCCCAAAGTCCAATGCCGCTATCTAATACTATAGCACAACAACCAACACCAAAAGAGATTGATGCCCTATAAGGATCATTCACACCACAAAGACGACAAATATTGGCACAAAAGAGATTATGCTTCTATTGTTTGGAGCCAGGCCATCAAATTGGAGGTTGTTTAAAATGTCATAATTCAAGCACCAATAAATCAAGGTGGATTCAGAATTTTGACCTTCACCAAGTCAATAATGAGGCAGAGTAGGAAAATGAGGCTTCTTAGTAAAGGCATTGAGAGTCAGTATTAGAGATAGCTATTATCTTTTAGAGACAAATGGCATGGCCTTGAATAACTATAAAAAAAGTCAATTGGTATATCTAACAAGATGACTAAGAAGATAGCTATGTCTAGTGCTTATGGATTGTAGCTCCACAAAAAAATTCATCTTGATTGAAAGTATTGATCTACTTGGGATTAAAAGTAAGAAAATCAAGGGAAGGAATATTTACTTGATAGATGATCGAGAGAACATATTGAATGAGACATGTGAAGAAGAAACCTTGAGTTTGACTAACACCTATATCTTAAGAGAGAGGTTTAGGTAAGTAATAAGCAAGTTGATTGGATAGCAAGGACAATTTCTTTTAAAGGTAGTGGATGCTAGGTGACTCTTTGCACCTACGCATCAAGTGAAGAGGAAGGACAATCTACAACCAAAGACTTACTCATAGAGACGACTTTTTTGAAGAAGCAAATACAACATAAGTAACCAGTATATATAGTGGTTCTAAATCTTGCATCAATGGTGGAAAAAGACAGCCAAAAGGATAGAATAGACAGAGCAATTCATGCAAGAATATTGAAATGTCTTTTCAATCAACCTATTCAGTGGTGTGTCTTTTGATTGAGGTGCCTTCTTTCAAATAGAACTATTGCATGGAGCCAAACCAGCTAGTCGGCCAATTTATTGTCTAGCATTAAATGAACTTGAAGGGCTACAAAAGATATTAGATGAACTCTTGGAAAAAGACCTCATTTGAGAAAGTACATAACCAGAGAGAGCACTTGTATTCTTTGTACTTAAAAAGGATGGTGGACTTTGACTACGCATTGATTATTGAGGCCTTAATAAGCAAACTGTTAAGAATGCATTTCCACTTCTACGCGTCGATGATCTTCTTGATCAATTTTGAGGTACGTTTTTATTGATGATATCCTAGTTTATAATAAAATCTTGAGGAGCATGAGCAATACCTACAAGAAGTGTTGCATCTATTGCAAAATAATCACTTCTATAGTAAGCAATCAAAATATGAACTTTGAAAGTCAAAAGTCACTTTTTTAGGGCATGTGGTATCTTTTGAAGGTGTGCACATGAAACAAGATAAGGTGAATGCAATGGAAGATTAGCCAACCTCCAAAGATGCTTGAAGTATGCTCATTCTTATGCCTTACTGGATATTATTGCCATTTTATTTGACAATTTGCACATATTGTTGCTTCATTGACAAACCTATTGAAGAAAGGTGCTTCATTTGAGTTGAAATTGGATTAGCAAAGTGTCTTTGATAGATTGAAGAAGGCACTTATTATTGCTCGAATATTACAATCATATGATCCCAACCTTCCTTGTATACTTGATATTGATGCTTTTGACTTTGCTATTTGAGTGGTCCTTCAACAAGATTTTGATAGGGCCTTTCAACCTATGGCATGTAAATCATACAAGCTCAAAAGGGCATAATAAAATTACTTTGCATGTGATCAAGAGCAATTAGTAATTATACATGCCATAAAGGTGTGGTGACACTATTTCTTGGAAAAGCTATTGGTTGTTCGGATTGACCATCAACCACTACTACACGATTTATATTTGAAAAATATGAAATCATGACATCATTGTTAGGAAAAATAATTGTAGCTTTTAGATATTTAACTTAAATATAAGTAAGGACAACAATACATAATACTAGACAGCTTATCATGGAGACCAAATTTAAAGGCCAAATCAAGAGACAAGACAGAAGTTTTTACCATTAATAGTATTATTTCAAACCTAACCAAAGATATAGAATGAAAGAAAGCTATGTATGGGGATGCTTATTTCAAGATGGTGTTAGGGACATAGTCCTTAGAACCTTCTAGAGATAAGCTTCTAGAACCTTCTAGAGACAAGTTTCTAGAACCTTCTAGAAGCAAGTCTCTAGAACCTTCTAGAAGCTTCTTAGTTGGTAGAAGATGTTAGGGACATAGTCCTTAGAACCTTCTAGAGATAAGTTTCTAGAACATTCTAGAAGCAAGTCTCTCAAACCTTCTAGAAGCTTCCTAGTTGATAGAAGTTGCTTGAGAAGCTTCCTAAATAGGAGTATATATTAGAATCGAGGCTGAAGAGTTCTTCAGTCTCGACAACACATCTCTTGGAGCTCTAGCTCACCTCTCTCGTATTGTTCTTGTATTCATCTGATTAATCTAGTTCTTGCCAGTTCTTCTTGAACTTCTTGTTAGATCTCGAGTCTGTATTTCTAAGTCCATGACAGTTTGTCGAGAATTCACTCACCTCAGATATCAGAGTTAGTTTCTTCCTCGTTAAAGTGCGGATTACCCCTCTGCTTGGAAGTGTACTAGTATTTTAGAGGTTGCGGATTACCTTCCTCTAAACTAATAATTCTTTTGTTACAATATTGGAGTCTTATTGTTCTTGGAGAGAGTGGATTACCTCTTTTCTTGAAGCTCTTAAGGCATTTTAGAGGTTGCAGAGTACCCTCCTCTAAACCAATATTGTCTTCTTGTAGAGTCATTTCTCTCCTTCTCTTAGAATGGCCGAAGGTCAAGACATTAGTATGACGAAAAGTTCGGAGTCCAAGTTGGATGCTATCATGAATGCCCTCGCTACGTTATCGCAAAGAACTGCAGAGATTGAAGGAGTCGTGGCAAGGCTTCATAATGATGGAGCATCTGGAATGGAACAATCTAGGTTACACCAGCCTCAAACTTCTGCACTTGGAGAAGCAACTTTGCCTCAGGTTCGACAAGCACCGCTGATTCTACAACATAAGGAGCCTCGAGTTAGCCTTCCGGACAAGTTCGATGGTACGCGTTCTAAGTTTCGAGGATTCATCAATCAAATCAGGTTGATAACAGTTTTACAGCCCGAATGCTATCCAACGGAGGAGTCACATGTTGGGCTTGTTGGAACCTTACTTACAAGGCAAGCTCTATCATGGTTTGTTCCTTTGTTTGAGAAATGATCATCTATACTAAACAACTTTGAAACCTTTTTGGAGGCGTTTGCGGAAGCATTTGGTGAACACGTCAAGGTTCGATGGGCTACAATAAAGATCCGGTCACTACGACAAGAGATGCACTCTACATTAGTCTATGCATCGGACTTCAG